CATCCCACGGCCACTTTTGCTATTAAAAAATTCTTCATTCTGCTTTTTGGGAAATTTTTGGGAAGAAGACAGATTTGATTCCCGTAATGGATACTGATACCTTCCATTTAAAACAATTTGAGTTGATTCAGTCCACCAGTCATAAGGTACCCTAGATACGAGCATTGTTACGCTCTAAATTAGTCAATTTGAAAAAAAAATTATGTCGCATAATTTTTGGTTATTCTCAAAAGCAAATTGACTCTCGATTGAATGGGGGCTTCAAAATGATTTATGATTTCACTCATTCTGCGGTTTCTCTGAGGTATATTTTGCTAACTAATGCAAAGTTCCTCGTAGCCTTTATTAAATTCGTGATTGATGGGAACAGAAAACTGGATCTTACTCTTGGTGACAACATTCGCGCTCTGTTATCTGAGCACTTGCAAGATCTTTGTACTGGGGTAATTTTCAAGTCTGATTCCAAGTTATTTCGGTAACGCAAACAGGACACAGAAGGTTTGATTATGAAACATCCTTTCAGTAATGATCTCTACAAAAACGTTCCATATCCGTTGAAAAAATCACCATTAAGGCAAAATTATTGCTAGAGGAGGTGAGCAAAGGAGAAAAATGAATAAACACAGTTCCTGTGAATGAACGCAGTTCATTAAAGTCTTATTCGATAAATAGTTCAAACAAGTGTTATGCAACTATCCATTACATAATTTCAATGCTCTAGCATTTCTCTCAAACAAACAAAGAAAAAAACATTTTCAACAAATTTCATTACAATAACTGCAGTTGGAAAATTGTGCTAACTGCAAAAACAATATCTACTTTACTTCAAATTTATAATTCATACCGAGGCTTAGGAAAAAACACTTCAGTTATTTAGATTTATAGAGAAAAAAATGCATGAAAAATTGAATGAAAAAACATTCCTGAAAATAGTTTAGAAGTCAAAAGACAATTACAGAAAACATAAGGACGGACAAAATTATTTAAGCTAAAAAAGAGAAATCAATTTTTTCTCTAAAATTTGTGCTGTATCAGTTTTCCCATTTTAATTAAAAATTTCAGGAATTTGTAGAGTTTTGAATGTTCGAAGAAAATTGAAGAAGTAGTTTATCTAACCACAATCAAAAGAATAGTTCCAGAATTGAATGGACATTGAGAAATGAAGTAAAAATTCTGCCAAACACACCAGGGTAGACAAGCGTACAGACGAAAAAAAAATCGTTCACTGAACCATGTACACTTGAAAAAATTTGAGAGATCAATTTTTATGCCCCCGTGCGCAGACCATAACCAATTGCAATATGAGGTATTTGAGCTGATACAAAACAGGCCTAAATCATGAACCCGAAAAAATATCGCAACTGAAAAATCTGCATGGATCATCGAGTTGGCAAATTTGAAAAGTCGAGACAGTTCCAAGAAACTATGCTCAAAAAAATTCTCCTAAACTATTTGGCCCAGTTAAATCAACCAAAAAACTGTTAAACTAGTTGTTCGCAGAGAAACACCAGATTTGAAAACCCAAGAAGTAACTAAGCATACTGAATCATTCAAATAGTAGTAAATCTTTGGTATCATTTTTAGACGCTCTTTTATTTCAAAGAATTGTCTCTTGCTTCTGTTTTTTTCCATTATTAAAAGGCCGACAAAACCCAACAGACAGCTTTTACACTCAATTTTTGCGAACAAGGAAACGAAAAGATACCCAAGTCAACCACTTAAAAACTTTGAAAAACCAACTGAGGATATAGGTATAAAAAAAATTGAGCTGTTGCGGAATCCTGCTAGCAGTTGAACTAAGCAAAAAAGCTCATTTACTGCTAACAATTGAGCTACCAGTTGAACTACCGGCGATCTCAATTCTGCCAAATTACCACAAATTTCGATCTCAATTCCTGTCTCCAACTTAACCCCAAATTCGACATCATTTCCTGCCACCTTAAACCTAACTTCGATCTCAATTCTTGCCAGGTTGGAGCTCAATTCCTGCAAGGTTCGATCTCAATTCCTGTCTTACTTTAACTTCAATCTCAATTCCTGTCATTTTGACCTCAATTTCTGCAAATTCCTTCGATCTCAATTCCTTTCCATCTCATTCCACGTCTCACTACTGGTCCAAAAAACAAATTTTTCTGTTTATTGAACTTCGCTTGCACAGTTTTGCGATACAAATGGTTCAGAACTATCACGAATTGTCAGCTTCAAAAAACCGATTGAGAACTGTGGAGGTGCATGCAAGCATGAAAATTCTTACAAGATCATGGATTTTTCAAGAGGTTACTTGGCATGAAAAAAATAAATTCATTCTGGGTTGTGTCAGTTGGCTTTTTTCAAAAAGGAGGCTACGCTAATCAAGGCTTTTCTTTGAAAAAAAAAATAGCGAGCTAAAAAGATTTAATACCATTGGCTCATAGCTCGAAAACGAACATAGCAGAATCAGCCTTGAAAAAGTGCTTTTAAAAACAAAGGCAACAGCCAATTGAAAGTTTTGACCAAGAGGAAAAATTTTATACAGAGGCGAAGCGGAGCTTTGCACCAGTTGCGATAACCCACAATCATTAAAAAAGCATAAGTCAGGGAAAAAAATGAAAAATGTTTTTAAAAAATTAGGTGAACCAAAATTCTTGCATGTCTCGATAATTTTCGTATGTCTAAAACTAAAGAAACCTGTTTGGTACTTTTTGAATTTGTTACACTGATGCGGGACAAAATGCGCTATTTTAAAGATTGGACTTTGCCCAAAACCTTAGTTGTTTTTGTACTAAAATAAGTGAGAAGTCTGAAAATTTTCAAGATTTTGAAATTTCCCCGAAGACTAACTTTTTCGTTCACAAAAAATTAAGGAGTAGCCGCCTCTTCAGGAAAATTTTGTGCAACCTCTGCTTTCGCTTGATATTCTCATCTCAGATTTGATAGGGTAGTTTTTAGGAAAATTCAAAACTTTTTAAAAATGGTCAAAGCTTAAAAACTTGACTTTCCGAAGTTCGTAGTTTTTTTTCTGTTAGAACAGGACGTGGCTTGTTAAGTAGAGAAGACTCCTAAAATTGGGTTTCTCAATTGAACACTGAAGCTGAGAATTGTCACGGTAATTTTCGAGAAGAGTAAGAAAAACTTGAAAAATGATTTCAGATTAAAGCTCTTTGAATTTCACGAACAGTTTATGAATTAGGTTTTTTAACAGAGGTGACGCGGCGCTTCGCACCACTTAGGACACAACAAAAGCTCAGCATTGCAAGCTAGCAAAAGCAAAATATGACGGAAATAACAAAATCGTTTAAAAAATGGTAAAAACAAACTAATTTCAGAAAATTGTCAAAAAACACAATCACCCGTATTACAAAACTTCAAACAATTACCCAGCTGCTACCCAGTCAACATCAAGAGGGTAGAAGCCTGTATAGTCGAAAAATTAAAAAATGCCATAGAAAACATTATCATGAAAAACTGTGAGCAATCAAGTTTTAACGGCACAAAATGAGGTATTTTACATAAACATTTCGACGGGGACTCGAATTCAGACTTTCGGGTACAAACGCAACCGCTATATCTCTAGGCCAATTGAAAAGAAGTATCGAAGTTGCTAAGGTTCACTGATTAAGCAACTTTTCTGAATTTCTTACTGATTTGTAAAAAAAAATTGTTTACGCGAAATAAGTCTTTTTCCCGATTAGAAGACACTTGCTCTCCTAAATGTAATAAAAATAAACCAATTTGAAAACTGGAACAATTTTTATTCCACTGGGAAATCTTGAAATTAAAATCCACTATCGAAACTAGATTTCGCGCCATTTTTGCATTGGTAATTGGAGAGCCCAATTTACCCAAATTTTAGGCGTTGAATTTGAATGTAGCTCAAAAAAGCATATATAATCAAATGCATTCATAAAAGAATTAATATGTATGAATGCAATTCTAGTTATTCGAGCAACTTAAGACTCTAAAAAAATCCATCAACACGTATACAAGTGAAAATTTCAGTTCTTTTACACTTGATTAACCATTTGTCCTCTTTCAAAGCAAAAAAAAACAACAAGTAAAAATATAAATCTAACTAATTGACAGTTGGTTAAATATTAATGAAACCAAGAAAACCAAAAAAGATTTCTAAATTTTAAACTTTGAATTATTCTCAGCAATTTTTGAAACGAACATTACCAACTGCAATTTCAATTTTCTTTTAGTTGGCTTTGTTATAGAAACAGTTTATTTTTGAAAACTGGATCAATTACAATTTTATAGTCCGCTAGGAATCAAAATCAACTTTGAGACCAAAACTCATTTCCACTTTTTAGTGACACTTTTGGATTTTTGTTATTGGAAAGCGTAGTTTGCCTTCCATTCAGAAATTTATTTGAAGATAATTTAAAAAAAAACTAAGTCAAATCGACAAAGAATCAAATTAAGGGCGAACTACTCTCAAAACTTCCGCCAAAAAAATACGACCTTAATAAGTGAAAAATTGCTTCATATATCACCACTTGGAAAATGGCGAAATGTATGTATAGATCGAGAGTTTTACACTGTTTTCAAAGATTTTTCAACATATTTGATTATGAAATTTGAAGAGCATGCAATTTTTCAGGACTGCTAGTGCGTAAACACTATACAAAACTCAGATTTCAGTAATTTGAATTTTTCTCCAGTTACATGTTTGTTAAAAACAAAAATTTTGCTACGTTTGAAAATTAACTTATTCGAATGTTTGGTTTTAATAGAATTGTAAGTAGACATCACTGATTCTAACGGATACATTGGCTCGACTGTTTCTCATATCTAGACAACAAATTACTTTCAAGTTCTTATTTTTAGGCATCATATTTTGTAGGGGCTGGCTATAGTATCTTATCGAAGACAGCAACTTGTACCACACGCCAGAATCAATCCTTTAAATGCCTGTCCAAAAAAAATAAGATATTAGTTGGTACCTTGTTTAAAATATATCATCCTCCTGTCAAAATTGTCTCTTGAACTTTGTCCAGACTACTGTCAACAAAACACAATTATTAAAGTATTTAATTTTTTTCTATTTTTAAAATAATATATATTCCGCAAAAATACATCAAAAGTTTTATTATGCAAACTACTATAACTTGATTATTTGTACAGAGCATATATTTTCTTTGGTGCATTTGTATGGACAAGACTTTGTTGTTCCTCGTAGCCAACTGTAATTAAAAGATCCCTTCGGAACCATCTGAAGGTTGAGGTCAAGGGCTGCTAGAAGACACTTCTGCAGTAAGGACAATTGGCAGTTCCTTTCTCGAACCAGGTGAAGAGACACACTGCATGGAATTTCTTCTTACATACTTTGCAGGGCTTCGTTGGAAGTGATCTAAACATAACCACATTCATCACTTAAAAACCATTCGGTGTATTTGCAGATTTTAACAAGAATCGCCGGTTGCTGCGCAAGAAACAGTATGTTCCGACCATTTTTTTAAAAAAAAATAGTCGGAACAACGAGAACAAAAACAAAAATACAGCACGGCCAGTTATGTTGATAGTTTTACTTGGAGCAAAAAGACGCAAGCCAGTTCACTGAAAAAAAAAGAAAGAAAGACATGCCTGTTCAAAACTCAACGCAAACAGGACAAATGGGCGCAAATCTAGGTCTTTTTTATCAGCAGTCTAGTAAAATTATAGCACATAGAGAACACTGGATCAATAGATAACTTTTAACCTGCTGTGAATTCAGAAAATTTACGTTTTTCGTGACCATTTCTCTTTTGCTGTTCGATAGTGGAGTTTGCCTTCATATAACTAAGGAGAAAAAGTGAACTTAAAAAGAATCCATAAATCAAACCGCGTGAACAAACTTGAGCGTGGACAAGTTTCAAGACTTTTTCCTGAACAAAAAAACGAACAAAAATTATCAAGACCTATATAAGTGAAAGTTTACACTTAATATACATTGGTTATGAAAAATTTCAATCCGAAAAGTGTCGTTTTTCAAGGACACAAAAAGGCAAATGTGACAGTTTGAAGTCGTTTCAGCTTCTGGGATGGCAAACTTAGCTTCAATCTAAAACACTGAAAGCTGCCCATCGAGCTGTATTGTTTTTCGCTTCAATCTAACACACTGAAAGCTGCCCATCGAGCTGTATTGCTTTTCGCGCAGGTTATAAAAACATGATAATTTTTGGTTATTTTTTTTTACCTGTTGGAGGGATGTAACACCGCCATACACACACAGCACTCCTCCACTCCCGAGAATATCTTCTCCAATGTGGACTTCCACCCTAAGATGCCATGCACAAGGGAGGAGGACTCCTGCTCCAGACAGATCTTCAGATCCAAGAGCAGACGTTGCCACTCTTCGTCCTTGATTCCTGAAAACACACAGACACCTGAAAACGGACTGCAAATTTCTGCTCTTCTTCACTGTCCCCCCACATTTGAAAATCAATTTTGAAAAGCTATTTTTATGTTGTCATACTGCAATGAATTATTATTACATGATGAACAAATTAACTTTTGTGAACAGATTTGTTGTTCATACTCTAGATCGTAAAATCACAGATTCAGCTGAAATAACACGTAAAGCAACTAAGAAAGTGGAAAATTTGAAATATGGGGGAAAGTGGAAGAGCCCCCAAAGTTCCAAGGATCTCTCGCAATCTGTTTGAAATTTGTTTGAAGATTCTCTGCATTGTACATGGAATCTAATTAGCAAACAACATACTATTACTTCCTGTATGTGGCAGCGCGCACAATAGTTTTTGTTGTTTTATCATTCTTTTTCCAAGTCTTAAATTTCTTGACCATCGTCCAATTCCTACTACAGGACGGAAGGATGCAACACTTGTAAAAAACCATATAATATAAAAATCAACTCCTGCAGGAATTGATGCGAAGCCAAGTTAGAGTTGAAGCGAGAGAAGTTAAAAGTTAACGCTGCGAGCAGGGTTCGAACCTACGCGGGAAGATCCCATTGGATTTCAAGTCCAACGCCTTAACCACTCGGCCATCGCAGCTTATTAAATTCATCAAAGAGGTAATGCAACATTATTGAACAAATAAATTACTGGCACTTACCAACTTTCTTTTTCTTTATCTCTTCAATGTTTATCCTTCCAAGGGGATAGTTTTTAGCAAAGCTCAGTTTCACGTCAATAGCAAAATCCTCAATCGAGTACTGAGCCTGTATCGTGTTCTGGCCTTGGAACGTTTTGATAGTCAACCTATCATCTTTGTTCATGTCTTTATCCATGTTGACATCGCCGAACGCTTTTCGGATTACGAAAGGCGACAAAAACGTCGCCGTATACCAATCGACGACTTCCCGCTTTCTTCTATCTAGTCTTTCAAACCATGATCTGCAAAGTTGAGGAAGGCTCAAAATTGAAGTCATGTAACAATCAATTGCTAAATCAGACAGAAACTGTTGCGATCGTTTTGGCCTCACGCTCGAATAAATATCCGAACAATTGTAATCAACATTCGTCACCGCCTCTGTGTCAATTATCCGGAACAAAAACGAGAGAAAAGACTCAATTTTTACGTCTTGGAATAATTCGGACTCCAAGAGCGCATTTATTTTGGCCGACTTTAGTTTTGATAGCAGCAAAGCTAGCAACTTCATCGCCATTAGAAAAGAAGTCACAGCTTGGTTCGTTTCGTTGTCGACAATTTCAAACGTATCCGAGTTTTCCAAATCACCGATCGACAACATCGAATCGCAATCTACAGCAGACAGTTCTGCTACTTTCAGCAACATGTTTGCCCATTCTTCGACAAAATCCTCCGAACCTATAATGATTTTCTCAAGAGCCAAACAAGCCATAAATTGAGTCACGCAGCTGCGGGATAGCAACCCCGGGCTCAAAAACGATATGCAGTTTGCACCGTCAGTAAAACAACTAATACTTTGTTTAAGAGTTCCCGAATCAAAGCGTTTCAAGCACGATACTTCTGTTAAGATTTTTGTATTGAATTCTCTTGGCAATTCTGACTTTATGAGCTTAATACACACATTGCAACAACTTTGAATCAATTCTTGCTTGAAAACATCGTGCCATTCTTGGTTCAAATCAGGGTGATCGAATTTAGCAACCAGATCTTCAATCAACTCATAGGACTTCAGGAACCATTGGGCAAACGATACCAAATTCAGATTTTCAGATAAAAATTCTGTCTTCTGCAAGCTGTTTCCGTAACAAACCAAAACGCACAAAACGCTATCCCACAGTTTTTGCACAATTTCAACTGTAAGACTCTCGTTTTGAAGAAAAATGACAATCGAAATTAGAACTTGTCTGTTTAGAATTTGAACTTCACTGGGAAAAGCTTTTATATCCTCTCCGTCACAGAGTAATTCATCCTGGTCTGATATAATTCCCAGAATTTCGGTGATAACTTTGCTCATTTTTTCCAAATTATTTGAACTATTCATAGTTTGCACATGAAGAATATTTGACATCTCTAGAGCGTCGACATCATCACGGAATATTTTTTCACTGCTTTCGCTAGGAAGGCTCAAACTGTTTAGGTAAATCAGCTGACCATTGTCTCCAGCAAAACCTTCAGACTTTTGAAGATCAACAAGGAAATTTGTTTCCTCTAAATTCGAGAAAATTTGAGCAATGTCACGACTCTCTTTTTCACCTGTTTCATGAGACGCAAATGGAACGATGTGTGAACTTAAAACATTTGAAACTTTTTTCCATTTTGACAGGTCTAAGTTCAAGTCTGAGAACTTTGGGTCACTGAGAACACCGCTTATTTTGGCAACGAAATTCAAAAATTTTGACACTGATGAAACATTGATATCTTCAACTTTTACTGAGCTGAAACTTTTATGCGCAGGTAACACAGCATTGAAAATCAATGCTTTCAAAATACTAGAACTGCACAGCGACAGTGAATTGTGCAATTCTTTTTCAACTAAATTGTCTAGCAGGTTGGAGAAATCTAATTTGTTGTTTGCTTCGAGGTTTTCGACAAAAATAGAAAGAACTGATGTCAAAATATTTGCTTTTAGCTCAAACAAAGCAAAGCTATTTTTCATTATGCCAAATGCCCATTCTTTCTGAGTATACTCAAGGCCATCACTTTTCAGAAAAGCTTCTAAAACAGGGCAAAAATCTTTCGCAATTGCTTCGTGGAAACTATCTGTGTCTGAGCAGTCGGACAATACGCTTTCAAATATTGTAAGCCGGATGACATTTCTGCTGCTCTCTAGCACTTTCAAGCTTTTCTCCGCAAAAACAGGAAGCATTTTTTGATTTCTGAACAAAACGATATATTTCTCGATTAACTGATCGTCAAGGGCATTGCAGTTCGCTGCAATTATTGCAGTCAGAGACTCATTGCCATCGTTGCCAATGAGGTCCAGCAACTTTTCACTTCTAAACAGCGTCTTAGATTCAGATTTCAAATCTGCTTTAATGATTGGTGTCAATGCTCGAGCATCTAACTTAGAGCACAACTGACTTAGTTCTTCGAGACTGTAATTGCAACTCATCAGTAGAACCGCAGCATCAGATAATAGTCTTTCACTTTTGCTCGTGCAAGCAATCAACAGATCTTGCATGTACTCAGAACAAACTTTAAACTCAGGATTCTGCTCAAGAAATTTCTCCTGGATAGCTATAGTCAGTTCAATGCAAGCATCAGTGTCAAGTTTTAGGCCCTTCACTTTTTCCAAGTTGCTGAAAAAAATTTCGTCAAAAGTGTTGGTGTCAACTTCAGTTTGGTCTTTTTGAACAATTGTCACTTTTTTAACCAAAGGTTTTGGCTTCAGAAACTTCAACAGTAATTTAATGGCAAACTCATTGTTACCACACTCTTCTATGCAAGATTCGATGCAATTCTTGGAGGTTTCAAACAACGCTTTGCAGTTTACGCTCGATTCATGAATCAAAACAAAGAAACTAGTTTGCAAGAGAACTTGATTCTGACCAGTCGAAAGGTTTTGCAAGCTGTCTTCCACGAATCGCGTGACAACGTCTTCGATTTCTGTCCCCGTCCATGAAAAAATGGCTGTAAGAGTGTCATTCAATGAACCCAAGCGACAATCAGTATCTTGCACAAGTTTTTCAAAATTTTTCACGAGATCAGTTAGCCATTGACTTTGGAGGTCTTTCAAAAGCAAAGAACTTCTAAGGTATGAAGATATGTGAACGACGTTTGTTGGAGAAAAAGAAGATACGGACGATATCAACTTTGTTCGCCATTGTTTTTCATGCTTCGCAGCTCTGGAATAGAGTTTCGTATTTTCCAACTTAGCGATTAAAGAGCAGCTTTTACTACAAACATTATCGTCGGTTTCTGTTAGAGAGAAATGCTCAATTGGCTTCAAGCTGACGCCAGTAACGACTTCGATTTCGAAAATGTCAATTAGCTCAGTCCATGACGTCATTGCTTCAAGAAGCGCGAGAAAATTTTTCTGTATCAATCCGTCTTGCGATTCGATCAGTTTATTGAAACTTACTGAAGAAATCAAAGTAGGAAGAACATGTTTTTGAACATGCGCTCGCACATCCGCAGATGAATCAATCAGAAACTTAGTAAGAGCTAATGACTGACTTATCAAACGATTGAACTTATGCTGCGATGATTCTGAGTCATCGTCTAGAGAACGCGAATCGACAGCAAAATTTTCTAGAATCAAAGCTGATATTTCTTCCTTACAGAACAGGAGAGCATTTTTCCATTTTTCATCAGGAAAAATGGCAAAGAAGGCCGATTTTGCCTCTTTTCCTGCAGCCGCGTAAGGATCAAACATGCTAAGCAGCCAGTAACCGGTTACTGATTTCATGTAAGGAACAAATTCTTTCTTAGTGTTAGACACAATAAGGCGATGCAGTGCTTGGGTTTGTCTTCGAACTGACGTTTCATCGTCTGAACAAAGTTTTGGATAAATCCTACACCACTGAGGCAAAACACTGAGCCAGGTTTCTGCTCCATGGTTGGGTAAAATTCCGCTTAGGTCGTTAAGACCCTTTATCTTAGTACATGAATCCTTTTTGCTCAGTTTCTTGAGCTGTGTTTGAATTTCAGGAATTAGAAAAAATGAACTTTGTGTGTCAAAGCCAACAAAAGATTGTGCATTTCCAGCCACTAAAGCAGCTGCATCTACACTTTTGGCAGGTTTTACATTTCCTTTGACTCTATCCTTTTTCGACATTTTGGTTAGCAGAAATCGAATTCATCAAATCTAAAATAAAACAAGGATAAAGGTAAAAACGGCAGATCAATGTAAAATAAACTCCAGAAACGTTTTCGACATAAAAGTCATCATCAGCCAATCTAAAAAACAAAGCACCTGTAAAACCGGAATGGAAATGGATGTGAAAACTAACATTAAAAAGAATATAAAAATAGCATCAGTTAAGACCCGAGTTAGTCATGTGACTAAAACAAACGGACTTAAAAAACCTCACAACTTGACTGTGAAAAACAAGGATAGCTCGTTGCTGTGCAAGCTGTGCCATACGACATGAATGCCGCCAAAAATGGTTTGATGGAACGAATTTCTGGGGTCTGAAATTACACATAAATTGTTCAGAAGAAAAATTATTAAAATGTGAACTCGAACGTTTTCAGAACTATGTCCTTCGTCAGGTTAACAAAATTGATAAATAGTGATTTACAGATGTTAAAACATCATAAAAGACCATTAAGTGGTTCTAATGCTTGTATTCAATTTTCAGATTCCACCTTCTCTTTAATTCATGGGTAACGTTTTGAGTGATATTAACAGTGTGCAAGACTTGGGATTAACTCTGAACAAAGCATAGAAGTGGTCAGAGCATATAAACAACAAATTGTCAAAATGTCACAAGGTTTACCAAATGATTAAACGCAATACTTCTTCTAGTATGGGAACTACATCGAAGCTTCAGTTATATAAAGCAGTGTTTGTTCCAACAATACTATATGGAGCTGAGTGCTGGTCTCCGAGTAGTTCAGATATTACGGAGATGGAGAAGATGAACAAGAAACTACTCAAATGGGTTGATCCGCCTGAACGTGTAACCATTACCATATTTTCAAGCCATAAAGGAGCTTTTACTTTTATCAAACATCGTTGAGAACAAATTCGACGTGAATTTTTCAGAAAATTATCAAAGAGTAAGTAGTCGTCGTGGGCGCTTGCGATTCTCTCTACCGAAAGTACAAACTGCGAAAGAAAGAAATAATTTCTGGTATCGTGCGTGCATGAGAGCAAATATTTCTGATGTGAATATTCGAATGTGCCAGAAATTTCGAATGTCCCAGTCGGTCATATCTGGAAGTTTGACCTTGAGGGACACGAAAATACGTGATTTTGCAGTGAAGTTTTAATTTTCAAAATTTCGAATGGAGCCTTTCATGCTCAGTTTTCTCGCACCAACTGAAAACACAAAGTGAAAAATCAGAACGACCGAATTTGCGATTGAGGAAAAACACTTAAGAAAACAGCAGGAAATTGCAAAATAATACACGAGTAGAGCCGTCTTATCCTGAAATATGAGACGAGATAATCGCGAGAGAAGAGCACAATTATTCGAACTGAACTAGAGTGAACCTTCAACGGAAAGGTGGACAGCTTGAGTGTCCCAATGGTTCAGCCAAAAACTCCAATTCTAGAGTCAAAACTTATTTCTGTTATCAAAACTGATTAGTATTGAACTTATCTAGTTATCCTACTTAATTCTCGAGTTGCTTATCAATTTAATTGCTCCCTGTGCTTGAGTGCATCAACATGTGAGTCCCTAACTTAATTTTCTCGAGTGTGTATGTTGAGATAAGGCGAGTTTTAGGTTGATTCATCTGAAATGGATCAAAGTTCCACTGTCCAATAAAAAGTAACTTAACGGATTGTTCCGACCCTGTTTTTAACGGCGTTCGTGTATTTTGGGTATTTCGTGATCTAATTATGGGGACGTTCTTATTTTCTAGAGTGGGGGGATATTTTGGTAGTAGCCTTTAAGCTGTAGCGGGTTCTAGTCTCATGTCTGTGCCAGTCGGTCATATTTGGAAGTTTGACCTTGAGAGAAGCAAAAAACACTTAATTTTGGAGTGAAATTTAATTTTTCAAAATTTCGAATGGAACCTGTCATGCACGATTTTCTCGCGATAACTGAAAATCAGAAAAGATAAGTCAGAACGATCGAGTGACAATCGCGGGAAAGTGGCTAGAAAAATCAGTGGGAAATTGCTATTCGCAATTTCAGTAGCAATAATAATCGAGAGTAGAGCTGTCCCATCTAAAACAGAGACGAGCGCATTCCCACGAACTGGATTGTTGTGATTGGAGTATTTATTCTAAACTGGACTAGAGTGAACCTTCGGTGGAAAGGTGGATAGCTAGAGTGTCCCAATGGTTCACGAGAACTTACAGTCTAGAGTAAAAACTTGTTCTTGTTATTACAACTGACTAACATTAAACTCATTTTAGTTACTTTATTGATTCTTGAGTTGCTCACCGACTTATTTACTTCCTGGTTCTTGAGCGTGCTACAATGTGAGTACTAATTTAAATGTCTAGAGTGTGTTTTATAATTGTTATGTTGAGGTAAGGCGAGTTGTAGGTTGATCCATCTGAAATGGATCAAAGTTCCACTGTCTAATAAAAAGTAACTTAACGGATTGTTCCGACCCGGTTTTTAATGGCGTTCATGTATTTTGGGTATCTAGAGACCTAAGTATGGGGACGTTTCTAATTCTAGAGTGGGGGGATATTTTAGTAGTAGCCTTTAAGCTGTAACGGGTCGTAGTCTCATGTCACAAGCGAACCGAATTGGCTCCGACTGATTTGAGGTACAAAAACACAATAGATAGTGTCCCTGACTCTTGAACCAATGGTTATAGGGCCTATTTTTCTTAAGCCTCATGTGTGACTGCAGTAGACGAATGTTACATAGTGTTTTTATGGCGCTCCTGGGTGTTTACGACATCAAGACTACGGAGTCGAACCCACTTGAGACAGCTTCGGACTGAATGCCCATTCTAGAGTACCGGCGGTACGGTTCGACAGGAACGTGCAAACCTTCCGGTTGTACCGTGATAGCTTTTTAAGAAAACTCAAGAAAACTTCCTGGTACGCTCTCCGAACGAGGCTTAGCTAACCGAGTAAAGGGGGGCAACTAGGGGGACAAAAACACGAGCAAAAAGACAAAAAGCGAAACAAAAACCATAAAACGAAAAAAGACAGTGACTTTGACACCAGATTAGTTGGATCAAACCTTTATATTAATTAAATAGTATACCCATACTGTTTTACAAGTTCGATCGTTTCGATCAACCTAGCAATTTAACCCAGTAACCTCAATAAAGTGCCCGAGTGTGGGGCGTTGTCAAGGGTTTTTAGATAGCTTGGAACTTAGCTGGACAACCAGGAGACTTGACTGGAAGAGGTGACCAGCCGAGTGGGAAAGTGGTTCAGGAGCATTTGAGCTGAACCAATAGGAGACTTGACTGGAAGAGGTGACCAGCCGAGTGGGAAAGTGGTTCAGGAGCACTTGAGCTGAACCAATAGGAGACTTGACTGGAAGAGGTGACCAGCCGAGTGGGAAAGTGGTTCAGGAGCACTTGAGCTGAACCAATAGGAGACTGGACTGGAAGAGGTGACCAGTCGAGTGGGAAAGTAGCCAAGAAGGATTTGGCAGTTCTCGAGTTCTCAAGTTGGGCAGAACGGGTATCGTTAAAACTCATACTACATTATAGGAAATAAGTGTAAAATTGGATAAGCGATATCCCCCGGTTTTGAGGAACGTTTTTACTTGAGCAGGCCTGGAGACAGGTGTACGGTTTTCTCTTGAGAGGTTTAGCACCCGGCGCTTAAGGTAATTTTAGGCTTAAGAAGGGGGGCTAAAAAGGGGGGAGGTTAGAAGGGGGGCTGGTTAAGTTAGAGGTTGGCGGTTGTAAATTGTAAAAAGGAGAGAAATTAGAGTAACTAATTGGTCGACATTGTTGATTTAGTTACATTAGTCATTTACACGCGTTGGTCATAGGAAACGGATATCCAAAATTGGAATTAGGTTAAGGTAGGTACCCTGGTCGGATCGGTAGGGGGAAACGGACATAGACAGTTTTTGTGATACCCCATAAGATCGCTAGCAGGGGGGAAGGAAACGCGTGGCAATTAGGTACCAGACATTTTTTTTTCGACGAAAGGTAGACATTGGTCACCTTTGAAATTTAGGTGGGCTCATTTTTCAGTTTTTATTACTTTTTCTGGCTTGGATTTTTTGTTGCATTTTGGGGAGGATTTGTGTTTAGTTTTTATACGAACAGGTGATCACAAGATACCTGCGCACAGGTTTTGGTCTCAAGTTGCTTGGAACATTGAAATAGAGGTAACTAAAAAGAAATAAGAAAAAAAGAGGGGTCAGCATTTGGCTTTTAAGAAAGGGTTTTTGGGAAAATTTTACTAGAGCTTGAGTGGTGGTACAAGGCACAGTGAATCAAGAAGTCCCCATAACGAAAAAGAGAGAAGTCCCACCGCTCAGACACTTGTCAAACAGCCTTGGGACAGTGCCAAAGAAGTCCAGGGACAGTGTTGGACCAGAACAGTCTTGATACAGTCTTGGGACAGTGGTCTTGGGACAGTGGTCTTGGGACAGTGGTCTTGGGACAGGGTCTTGGGACAGTGGTCTTGGGACAGTGGTCTTGGGACAGGGTCTTGGGACAGTGGTCTTGGGACAGGGTCTTGGGACAGGGTCTTGGGACAGTGGTCTTGGGACAGGGTCTTGGGACAGTGGTCTTGGGACAGTGGTCTTGGGACAGTGGTCTTGGGACAGTGGTCTTGGGACAAGGGTCTTGGGACAGTGGTCTTGGGACAAGGGTCTTGGGACAGGGGTCTTGGGACAAGGGTCTTGCGACAGTGGTCTTGGGACAGTAGTCTTGGGACACTAGCCTTGGGACACTAGCCTTGGGACAGTAGTCTTGGGACACTAGCCTTGGGACACTAGCCTTGGGACAGTAGTCTTGGGACACTAGCCTTGGGACACTAGCCTTGGGACAGTGGTCTTGGGACACTAGCCTTGGGACAGTAGTCTTGGGACACTAGCCTTGGGACGGTAGTCTTGGGACACTAGCCTTGGGACACTAGCCTTGGGACACTGGCCTTGGGACAGTAGTCTTGGGACACTAGCCTTGGGACAGTAGTCTTGGGACACTAGCCTTGGGTCAGGGGTCTTGGGACACTGACGGAGTACTGGGACATTACCGAACAATCTTGGGACAGTAAAAGGAAGCCTGGGACGGTACGAAGAAGAGTAGGGACGGTAACTGGAAGTCTTAGGACAGTATAAAAATTG